GCCCTTGATAATAATCTCACATGTATATTTTATGATAGGTATATTCACTTTAATTTTAAAAACAACAGAGTAAAATTGATTATTGTGAAAGTAACATTTGTTATACGTTCGTAAGAGGGAGACAACTATACATAATATGCGGGTGTGGTGTCCTATTATAACAGCTAGTTACATACATTGAATATAAAGTTGGCTGTTTAAAATGTTGATAATTCGTAATAACTTAAAAGAAATAATTTAGATAATCATGTTTAAACTTAACATGATTAAACTCTCAACACCTTTATAAATAATTACGGGTTTAAAGTATATTTATAATATAATGTCAATAAATCGAAATAAAAAATACAGATAAAAGACAATTAGTTGTAGTGTAGTTTATTAACTCTGTACTATATACATATTATCGATTAGCTATCGTTTCTATTGCTCCAAGGACCAAGATAATATTTGTTTAAAATAAAAGCGAAGATATCTAAATAGGTACCTACTTAGGTATTTATACCTAATAGTATGAAATGACTATATAACTTCGATTTTCGAAACTAATTATGACTGCAAAATTCACATTTACCATTACAATTGTAATGGTAAATTTACAATTCAAATTGTAATGTATAATTCACCCGTTGCACGTCGTTAACAGTACCAAACTTAACAACCTAAGCAAAAAATGTGCCTGACACAATAACACTATGTATTAGGTACCTATACCAAATTAGACACCTATTACAATTTTTTCAATTTTACAACTAGATATAAGTTATAAATTATAATTAATTTTAATTGCACAAACATGCATAATAGTAATCAACTAAATGAAGTACCTATAATACCTAATACTCTGTAGATAGATACTTAAGATAATTATCATATATTAAAATTACCATAAAAATTGAAATTCTTAAAATGTATTTTTGATGAATAAATTTCTCTCGGGAGGAAATGTTGTCCAAGTTCATCCCTGCAATTCAATTATGAAATACAAGTTTTCAGCAGTTTATTAATATTTTAAATTATTAAATATTGTGCAATAAAATAATTCATTAATAAGTAATGTCTAAAAATGTACGATGAACCTATGTATATTATTGTATAACACATGATTGGTAGTACCTATTGTACTTGCATACTATTTTTCAATTCAATTGGAAAAAGCTAAATTATAATTATGATAGATAATTTAACTACCTACCGCTAAGTTACTTATGTAACATAAAGTTAAATAATTAGTCAAATTTTAACGTTAAAATTAGATTAACTTTGTATCCAGTTAATTCTCCCACCTTATTGTATAAAGCGTAATTGCACCACTTGTGGTTAAACTGTTTTAGATGACGTAATTTATAGTTATGTAGATATATATTTTTTTCATAAAAATATTGTAACCTATTTTGGTAAATGCCTTTTTAAGGAGGATGAAGAAAATCTACAAATATTTTTATGCCTGCAGTGATTTGAAAATTGTTAGGCGCCACTTTGACATACTTATTATACAGAGCTATATATGGCCTGTCTATATGACTACATCGATTGGAAATTGAATTCCAGTTATACTGCGGATTGTACTTTGGAAGGGTACAAACGTTTATCCATTATTTTTTTTATCAGTGTTTAACAGATTTAGATTCGTAGATTCTTAAATATAATATAATCGGAGGTCATATAATCATTTTTTGAATTCAGTGATTTGTAATGACATTATAATATAATATTAATTCAATGTTATAACTGTTATAAGGTTATAACTTTTTGTATTAATTTGTTTCTGCTACAGGTATTTCTATATAATATGCTATTTTCAAACCTATTGCTATCTATTGCTATATTATTAATTAATAATAATTTTATCGATATTTTTGCACTGAATTTTAGGTATAGCCTGAATGCTGCACTAATCTAACCTAAGTTACCATACGGTGATTCATGTCTGTCGGAGKGGAGGGAGGGGTGTCAAAGGGAAGCATTTGTACAGGACTTCGCACATTCAAGGATTAGATTATGTTAGGATGACGCTTATTTTTGCAAAATTAGACAAATAGGCAATAGYATATCCATCTCCCGGCAATTTTTATTGGGGGGAGTAAAAATCGCCGAAAGTTAATTTCAGCGGTCACACCGGTCGTGTGAACGTTTAGTTGTGAATATTGCGACCAGTTAAATTCCCCCACCTTAGTGTGTCTTGAAAAATTATCATTATATCTACCTATTTAACTATAAGCAATTTTTTTGAACGTTTAGACTCGTTCTATACATTTTGAGCCACAAAATAGTTTGAACATTTTTGTGATCTTTATGATTTYTTTTCAAAATTTTAACTTGATATGCTTTAAGATAAATCAAGCTAATGTATCTTTGATATTTTTGAACTTCTATTAGGTACAAAAAACTTATAAGGAACTCTATATTAAGTTTTCAAGCTTTTTTATTAACAATAATTTTAAAAATATATTAAAATAGCTTAAAACCAGTCAAAATATGATTATAAATATTACATATGGATTGTGGTCATATTATTATAATTTATAACCATTTTACAAAATTTTACACATTTTTACTAAAAAGAATACAACAAATTTGTTAAAATTTAGTTTTGCGTAAAGATTCCATTTTTYTTTATGGGACATCTTTAAAGTACCAAATAAATACCGATTTCTACCAGGAACCACCCTTTGAAGTTGATATACAAATCATTATTTAACTATGTACGTACTCACAGACAAAAAATTAATATAAAAACCATTCGCTCCGTTTAGAATCTAATATACAAACTTTTAACAATTAAAAAACTATTCAATATAAGGTAGTGTATAAGTAAATTTTTTTTACATAAGTAGATAATAATGGGTGGTTGCGCGTAAATAAAGGGGTTGAGTCATTGAAATCAAATTATTCAGGAATGCAAAAACAAAGTTCAATATATACATAGCAGTACATAAAAATTGAGTTAACACTAAACGCGCATTAAAATAACACATTCAATAACACAAAATAACTTATATATTTTGACACAATGTAGGTAGGTACGTAGTTTTTTTATGTTGTATTTTTGTGTGTAAACAACTCATTTACCACAAAATGTTGACATCCCCTTTTTCACGCGGAACCGCGTAATAACAAGATTATAATTTATAACTATTAATAATTATTATATTTATCAATTTATCATTAATTTTTCTTTCTGTTACTCGCACTGTCCACTGACAATAATATAAAGTATGGTAATTTTTATACATAAAAAATTGTTATGTTGAGGCGAATATCCCTTCACYTGTCACCTCCCCTTAGGGTCACGCCAGTATAATACCATATAATATTGTAATTTGTAAATTATATGATATCACTGGCGTAATTAGCAGCAAATGTTTAGGGTAGCGAACACTTTTATATGCTTCACCTTCTCCAATAAACATAATGAGTGGGTACTATTTACGCATAACTTCCTTCTAAATAATTCTAAAAATCATTATTATATTTACAGTTTTATAACACGAAATTTCACAAAAAACGTATTTTTTTTCCTGATAACTGCTTAAATAAAGATATTTACAGATAAATAAATAGTAAATACACACTGACGCGGATTATTTTTATTAAATTATCATTATGTAAATATTTTTGAGGTAGCCAAATGATACTCTTGCGCAGGGACGGCCTGGGAGAAAAATTCAGGCCGGGAAAATGTATTACCCAGGCCACTTATTAATGTTTACYTTTAGGCGTTACTATAGTGGTGGAGGGGGGTAAGGGATTGCTGAGCTTATATTCTACTCCCACACTACCAATTTATTTATTATCTTATCTTTTAGTTTTTATTATATTATTAATTAATTATGTAAGAGGACATAAATAAAATAGACTTTCAACCTTCAATCAGTATCAATATTTTAGTGAAACTATACATCTTAATTAAATTTCGAAACATGACATTCTAGTTTCTAGTTACACCTATCTCTATGACTCTATAGATTTTCTTTAAAGAAATGAACAAAAAGTTCAATTAGCCACTATATGCTTGAATTTTTTATAACAAATTATATTTTATAAACAATAAAATACAATTATTATTATAGCTGGTGTGTAAAATGTAAATACGTTTCATAGAATAATATTATTGTAATAATTTCTATCGGTTATCAATATAGTTGGATCGGACCAAAAATAGAGTAGGTGGTATGGGCTGTGGATATTATTACTATTTACTATTTAGATAGCAATCCCGGACCCGCATTTGTGTGCGCTAGCTGCGAAGTACCTAATCTCTCCGAACTCCGACGAAACATACACAATAATAACAATGCTTTTATGCATTCCAAAATACCCATGAGCAACTMTAGTTATTACTTATTATATAGTAATAAGCACTAATAACTTATTATATTACAATTTACTGRCAASGGGTGTTCTAATYKGGATTTTTATACTGTATAGTATACAAGTTTACTAATATTAAATATGTAATTTTAGTGTAAAGAAATTAAAAACTACCTAATTATTTTAAAAAATAATGTGATACAGCCGTCAGGCCAATGAAAAATCCCAATAGGGCAGGCCACCGGGTTAGGGTAACCTAACCTGGGCCAAGCCGTCCCTGCCTTGCGACCCCATAAAAATTGTTGGGGTCACAACCGCTACCACCCCTCGCTACTCCATATAGTTATTATATGTTTCCAAATATACTTACTTGTAATCTCGAATATTATTGTTATGAATTATCGTCTATGTGTTATTATGACCTATTTTTCTGGTCCCTTGAACGACGTATAAAACGAATAAACGATTTCTACTACAGTACGTTATTTAATATTATAACTATAATTGACATCGTGTTAAATGTGCCGCACACCGGCAGATGTCGTGGCACTCCCAACGATATCGTGCAAGCCACCGGACGGCCGTAGAGAAACAGGTCTGACAATCGATTTGCGAAGGCCTCTTGCGTCAACCTACCAAATTTTTTTATTTTCCACATCCACGTACTCCTGGAAATCTACTTATCATTGGCGGCAGTTTGGCAACGTATTGTGAATATTGTGAAATTATTTACATTTACAATCGGTTTTCGGATGTTTTTCCTTGCTTASTGTAAAAATTAATAGCCCATACTCGGCGGCGATAATATTAATTCGATTCCAGCAGACTGCATCGGCCCGTCGACAGACGAGAGATAATCGAAATCTTTATTGAAATTTTCACTATCGTTAATAGTGTTTTGCCTTTTGCCTAGAATTGACGCAAAAAAAACCCAAAACGCAGCTCATGGTAGATACACCGGCCCCGAAAATAGGCAATTTTCTTCAGTAATATCATATTATCATTACTGTGATGATTTTTAAGCTTTCAGCTATAGTTTAGTAAAATCTCAAATCTAACGCCGTGGCGAGCAACTACGGTCTACGTCCGACACCGAAGAACGTTTCTCCAAGCTCCGACGGGCGACGGACCAGAGGGACGACGCACGCGCACTCCGGTCAGCACCGYACCGCACCGCACCGTTCCGTACCACAACGCAACGCACGCACGCACGGCGACACGGTAGCCTCACGGAGTACGGACACACACGAGTTCAACACGACACACCACACGACCACACAGTACACACATCCCGAAGCCTGAGTGCCCGACAGCCGTGTGTCAGCCGCAGTCGGTGTATTCGCTCGCAAACGTCTGATCGTGCTGACCGTGACGCCGAACGAAAGATGCTCATCAAAGAGTTGTAAGTATTGAACATTATTRTCATATCGACGGTTATGTTTTATAATATAAACAGGCCATAATGGCAATGCACACGAAAGCGATTTCGGATCGTTTTTCCAAAAATCGCTTGACTCCCCCCTTACGATCGTTAATTATTTTGGCGTGATTGTCGCGTCACAAACGCACACGCGCACTATTTCTTCTGAATTTACTGTTAACCGGTCACGAACCCGCATCATTGATGCCCGACAGTGACGAGGACTGGTGAAATTATCGTTTTTATAATTGGGTTACCTCGTTCACCCGGTGGTTTTTCGTGATTTTTGTCTCGTCTGACGACCCTTTCYGAACGGGGCGTTTGAAAGCTAGTCCCAAACACCACCGCCTTCCACACCGCGCCTCATCTTAATCACGCCACTTTTGCTGTGTTTGTGCTAGGTGGATAGGTAGATAGATAAAGAAAATTTCATTGACTGTTATCAGATTTATCGGATTTTTTAATTGTAAATTAAGCGATAAGCACCACCCATTCGTTAAATTATCATTTAGGTACCAAGATAGGTTCTAAAAGTTAAAATATTAACTTCCAGGTTCTCATACTATGAATATTTGTTGTTAAATGGCYAAAGCAATTTATAAAATGAATATCAATACATTATAATATAGACTGTTAGTTAGGTTAAATTATTTTCTTTATTGTGACAAATATAATATTTTTAAACGTTACCCACATAGGCACATAAGATACGCCATCTTATGTGCCAAAAAATTAAGGATCTCATACTTTTGAATTGTATTGTTCTTAAACTATTGTGTCAWCTCATATTCAATAAATTTAAATTAGTCATTAATTGCCCGACTATGAATTATTTTTCATTTTTATTTAATCAATTTAAGGTCCCACGCAAACAAAACTAGACGTGATAAATAGGCCAAGCACAATATTTTGTATTTTATGTATCTGAAAATTATCATAAGCAAATATKTTATGTTTCAATCGTTTCAGTTAATCGTTGATTTATTATTAATCATTGTATGATCCATGGTAAATTGATTATTCATAAAATCGTGACTTGCTAATATTGCATGGTTTTTTTTTTTTATTGTTATTTGAATCATATAATTTATCTTTTCTTATTTTGTTTGAATCAATTAATGTAAATTATTTTTCAATTTCAATACTACCTACATCTGTTTCTAATTAAAAAATTATAAAAAAAAATTATTCTGTTTTTTTTTTTCAGTACCTAATAGTGAAAGGTGTAATTTAAAAATGTATGCATCTACTTTTATACATTTATGTGTTCTATATAAAATACATATCATATAAATTTTAGTCCATTTTTATATTAAATACACATTTAAATCTATACAATATTGTATTTTAAGTGCCTATTTATTGTCTACTTGTTTTATGACACATTTGACACAATAAATATTATATTGACCTATTATACCTTAAGCTGGGATTCCACGACTCGTGTATTTGACGAATATCCACAAATACTCGAATAATTGGCAAGTCTTATCTAAAATCCGCGAGAAGGTGGCGTTCAAAAGTTCTACGTTCCCACTATTCGGCGAGTATCCACAAATACCAAATATTCGTCACATACTCAAGTTCTGGGATCCCGGCTTTATACCTATTACTAATGTATACAAATTTTATTTTTGTTGCAGCCGTGTAGTSCTACCCTTAACAGTCGAAGAGGTTTGTACTCATATTTTTTTTTACAAAAATTATTTTTATTAAAGCAAATTCTCAATTATCATAACACACTTATATTACAGGTATACATTCTATTTTTCCTTTATACAGTTGTTATGTTTTTGTCTTTAGTATCAAATTGCCCAGCTGTACTCTGTAGCTGAAGCCAGTAAAAATGAAACTGGTGGTGGGGAAGGTATCGAAGTGTTGAAAAATGAACCATTTACCAATTACCCTCTTTTGGGTGGAAAATATTCAGAAGGACAGTATACTTATAAAATTTATCACTTGGCCAGGTAACTATTACATTATAGTCTATCTCACGAAAGAAAGGGACCGTGTCTTGGCAGAAACCAGTCATTCTTGCGCATCCCCACACTGCACCGCCCGTAATACCAACACCTAACATWTCCAACAGCCCGTGTGTCAGTTAACATGTGCAAAATGGCATCTTTCTTTCGTGAGACATATGTATGTTATATTAACTAYTATAATTGGCATGCAAAGCAAACTGATGAATGGTGATATCTTCCTGATATCAGCATACACATAAAATATAGCTAAGTACAAATGTTGATAAAAATAGATGGTCCGCCCTGTATTCTTATATAATATAATTTGTGTAATACTTACGAAAAACCTGTGTAATTGGTTCAGGATTTTACAGATTACCTTGTCTGTTAATAAATATATGCCCAAGCTAGTTTTTGAATGTTTTCAAAAATTAAACAGAAAAACAAGTATTGTACAGCTGGTTTATTAGTTTAACATATCAAGCTTTTGTTTAGCATTGGATGTTRTGTGACATTGGATGACATGTTTTGAAGGCCATTAAACTAGTATTGAGTAAAAATGTATTAAAATATTTCACGTTATTCCAGCCTTGGTGTATACAATTTTTCAACTTCATGTTAATATTRTTTGAATTAATAGATAAATTAAAAGTTAAAATATATTTAAATAAATAACAAGTTAARATGAATGTGGTATAATAATAAATTAGTTAAATCATTATTAATTTTGTGTTTAGAGCATTTTGTGGTTTTTAAGTCATTTTTTTCCACATTCATTCTAAAAAAAATTAAAATACCTAAATATGTATTATGTTACGAAATTACAAAATTATTGTTGACACGAGTAGACACAAAATATATACGTACAATTAACAACAGATTATTACCCACATTAAGGTAAAGATAAGAGATAAGATACAATAAACTATTTATCTAAAGCTGATTAATTAAGGTTGTATTGTATTTAAATATTTTTTATAAGTTTTAAATACAAAATTTTGTTTTTATTGAATATAAACCCATTTTTAAAGTTTTTTAGGACATTTTTTAGTGCATTTTTTGATGTTAATCATTTTTTAAGGCATTAAATCGTATTTTTTTAAGGCATTTTTCTTGTTTTTTAGAGCATTTAAATCCGTTCCCTATTAATTACCTATATTTAGACTAAATATTTAATAATAAAAAATTGATTTACTTAATCTGAAATGTAATTGTTATTAAGCTAAACCAGTAATAACACTACCAGTTTTTTAATAGGCATAACTTTTTTAACAATTGTATAATTTAATTTCTAAAAAGTCAGAYATAATTCATTGACTGTATTTTGAACTCTCATATTTTTATATTAAGTATGGAAGTAACAATGACCTTAATGCTCAAAAAACGATTCTTAATGCTGTTAAAACCTCATTTGCTGACCTTTCTAAAGTGGAACTTAAAAATGTATTGAGCCCTGACTTATATTATCAACTTTCTTATTTTCTATAAAGAGCTTACAATTTATTTTTGAAACCCCTTTTATGTAATTTAATTTTTGCTTTTTTTTGCTAATTTTTAATTTAAATTAATATTATTATAGGTTGACATTAAATTCATTACATAAATTTTACTTTTTTGGGTTCAACTTTTAAAATACATAATGTTATAAATTTAGAGAATTGAATCTGAAAAAGTATGATTTTTGCTAACAATTTAAAACATATTATTTATATTTCTCATACCTTTATTTTCGTGATTTTGAGCTGCTGTATTATCTATCATTTCTCCTCATAAGTAATACCTTGTAGATTTAAATAAATATAATTAGTCTGTTATCACAAGATAATATTGATACATTTACACAACCTTTTTTGAATTCAGACCATTTACAGCTTGTTCAGTTCAGCAAATTAGTATAAATTGGATATCATAATTATGCTAAATCAACTGACAATTTTAAAATCCATATCCCTTATTTACAATTTTTTTACATAAATATATAGTTAGTTATAAAATAAATTTTGTTTATGTGAGTAGAAAATGTAATATACTCTTAGGAGATCTGTACCAAAAAAAGTTTGGCCACCTCTGTTATTTATCAATTGCCTATATAGTCKGTGTAAAATTATGGTTAAAGTATTACATAATACTAAAATTATTTATGAACACAATTACAGTTTTTAATGTTCTTTAAACGAATTTTTGTACTTAAAAAGTTAAAACATTTATGGTTCACTCCGTGGTTCACTGTAACTTATTGGTGTTCTTGGTGTTAATTATTAATAACAATTAAATATTTAATTATTGGTAGATGTATTGATTTTTAATTTGGTGCATTATTATCTTGTCATGAAATTATATTAATTTAACTTGGTTGAGCAATTTTGGGGCAGTCACTACTTACTATCTATTAAAAACATATCCAACAGGTTTTGAAGAAGGTCATTTTTCACAACTATTTTATGGATGACTATTACAGAAGAAACTTTTTCTTCTCGATTCCTAAATAACATTTTGACTTTTGAGTTAAAATATCTAACAAATAAATATATATATATATATTTATTAATTAAATAATTATAAAATATTAATCACTTCACCTAACTATTAAATATTAAAATATAATTAAACATTTGATAAATGTTATAACATATATATAATAAAACTATCCATTCAAATACATTTGTGTTGGATATATTTATAAATTTTAAGTTCAGAAACCTAAAATTTATCCATGAGATTATCAATTTTTTGAATTAACATATTGACTGCCTGCGGCCACCGTCGTCTGTATAAAAATAATTAGGTATTGATAATTTTTAGACCGCTGGCTGCCACACCTCATCATTTGTAAGAGGCCATACGATCTTGGGCTGCCGTAAATTAATTTGGATTTATATTATTAATTTTTCCGTGGTGCTACAATAATGATCTAGAAAATGTGCAGTGGCGTAGCAGGAATAATTGCAATTTTTTGTATTTTTAATTTTTTTTTCAAATTCAATAGTTTATAATATACAATATACAAATTTATAATGACACTGAAAAATGTCTTTGGTGTACCCATGATAAATATTCTTGTGACCACCGGCGGCCACATGGCAGTCAACATGTTAACTAAAATACATTAAATTATTCATAAATCATAATTATGAATTTTTAAATCTTAAGCAAAATTATAGTACAATGGTAAAATATATAAACGCATAAATCTATGAAAATTTTAAATTACTAGGTTTTTTAGGTATAAAAAATTACCCAAAAGATTTTTGTATAAGTTAATTTTTTGAATTTAACTAAAAATAACAATACATTTTTTTGTACTTAAACAGCTACTAATTAAGTTTAGATAATATACAATAATTAATCTATACTTAGGTTCTTATAATTATAAACAAAACCTTTACATACACATTTTGCTCAATATTTTTCAAGTAGAATAATTTATTATATATGGTTTTAAAACTTGACTATTTATGGGTTACCAATTATATGTTACATAATCTTGGCATTTAGTTTCTAAATTTAAAATTAGTTAACGTAATATTAAGGTATTTCCAGTTTGATTCAATATTGTATTATGTTTTAGCAAAGTACCTGGAATGATAAAACTTTTGGCACCTAAAGGAGCATTAGAAGTTCACGAAGAAGCATGGAATGCTTACCCATACTGCCGAACTGTGATTACAGTAAGTAACTGTTATAACTGTTGATAAATAATATCTTAATTTTTATCAGTAAATTTATGAAATTATACACATTATTATATTGGTAGTTAAAATCTAAGAAAAATTACTTCCATTTATAATTTTTATTTATTTATACTGATGAATTTGTTTCCTAAAAACAAAGTTAGTTAAAAAGAATAATGAAATACTGTGATTATTTGGGCGGCAGCATATACTCAATACGTACTATTAATAATTTTTTTTATACACTCTTTCAAAGATATTAATAAGAAATAATATGTAATGCTACTTCTTTGTAATATAACATGACATGTGTATTCAAGAGTTTAACAATTAAAAAATAATATTTTATATCAATTAATTTGATCTATCAAGTATAAGTCTATATATCTATTATGATTTAATATTTATAGATATTTCAATTTCTATTCTASGAATTACTACATTAATATTGATTATAGTGAAGTGTAAAATAATGTAAATTGTGTCTCAATTAGTTGTTATTATCTACTTATTACACATTGAAAGTGGTTATTTAGAATTATTGCATTTTATTTTTAGAATTTTAAAAATTATTATTTTTATTTTGTATACACAATAGCTTATAATTAAAAGTTTATTGTTAATTTTCTCTTTGTATACATGGGATATTTTTGATTCAACATCTGTATTATATACACTATGTAATTTAAAAGTAATATTATTGTTATAGAACCCAAATTATATGAAAGAAAAATTTATGATAACTATAGAATCATTTCACTATGCTGATCGAGGAACCCAAAATAATGTAAGTGAAAAAAATTAGGTTGCTGAGATTATAGCTATTATGCCCGCTATAATATATGCAGATGGATTTTTGTTTTATATGTCAACTACTGGATTCTGATGTAATTTCTTCATGCTTGGAAACATTAATATTGATCATAATAATTCATTACATAATTTTCCTGTGTTTGATAATCTAATTAATATACATGACATGTGCCTTAATATATATTTTTAAATAAAATGTATTACAATTGCTTTTTGTTTGGTGGTTTTGCTTGTATGTACAGAATCCAAATTATATGAAAGAAAATTTCAGTATAGTCATTGAGTCGTATCATATTGCTGATAGAGGTACACAAGAAAACGTAAGTGATGTGGTCCTTAAAATGTATTGACATGTAATACAAAGAGTACTGTTAAATTTATGACCTCAAAAATCTACACTGTTGTAAAATGCTTAAGCACTTTTTTATTATTTTAATTTGAAATTGGATCTTGTGTTGTCATTCATCAATTATTTTTATCTTCTAGCGAATGCTTATAATTTATAGATCTAAATTATATGTAATTTTATGTTTTAAATTGTATTATGATGCCTTATTTAACAAAATTTGGCCAAAGTCTCAATTTTTAAATGCTAATTCCCTTTTTACTATTTATTCTCACTACAGCACATTTTACATTTAATAAACCATGAAATGTTTTACCTTATCAYTAGTAAAGCTTATGAACACTTTACTTAAAATAAAAATTTCCAATTTMTAAAGTTATTTAATGTTATCTAATCATAAAGGTCTATTAGATAAAACTAATGCATTAACACTATTACTCCTAAATTTGTTGGTGATGATTTATTTTTTGAGACTATTTAATATTAATAATTACTAAATTGCATGATGTGAAATTCTCAATCTTAACATTATATTAGTATTAATTTATGCTATGGATATACTCAGCTTATTAGATAATTTGTTGCATTTCTCGTTTGTCATTTTAATTATTATTTCTAACACTTACTTATTAATAATACAGGTTCATGAATTATCTCCTGAAAAACTTAAACAGAGAGAGGTACAAATAATTGATATTGGTAATGATCCTATTTCATCTTCGGATTACAAAGAAGATGAAGATCCTAAGAAATTCAAAAGTCAAAAATGTGGACGAGGTCCTCTCCAAGGAAATTGGATTGAAACAGTATGATTATTAATCATTATTATAACATGTTATGAACATTTTTTTTATAATTATAACCAAACTTGAATACAATGAACCTCCACTCAACTACTGCTGTCTACTGTTTTAGGCAAGCCCAGTTATGACTTGTTATAAGTTGGTATCTGCAGACTTCAAATGGTTTGGRCTACAGAACCGAGTAGAAAACTTAATTCAAAAGTCAGAACGCCGTCTGTTTACTAACTTCCATAGGTATGTTGTCTATTATAAATAAATAAATGATTTTTAAATATTAAAATGTTTACTATTTATGTATCTACATAATGTAATTTTAATTAACAGTTAGAATAAACTTTATATAATTTTACAGACAAGTATTTTGTTGGATGGATCGTTGGCATGGGCTAACTTTGCAAGATATTCGTGAAATTGAAGAAAAAACTCGAGAAGTATTAGACAGGGTATGTTTGCTTACAAGTAAATAGTTGACAACATTATTAATTTATGATTTTAATTGCAGCAACGGAACGAAGGAACTGTCAGAGGAATGAAGGCAGATGCCGATTAAAACATTTTTGAGAAATAATTAAACCAACCCAAATGCCTAAAATCGTCTTGAAAATGAAGCCATATTTATTCTAACACCAACCAAATTGAATAAAAACAAAATAATACCAGATCTAGTAATTTTTATCGCTTAGTCTAATTTTAACTAAAATTTTACAAATTATATTATACATTTTATTCTAAAATAACATTCTTACTATGAATATATTCAAAAACTGTCATAATATTTCTTAGGGAATTTTATTCGTTTAAAATTACTGCAGTTTTAAGTACTTACGTTTATTTTTAAAATTGATCATTACTTTTTGATAATTTATTGATTTATAGAAAGCCAAGTCATTCCACTTTCTATTTATTTTGTTATCCGTTCTTCCTCTTGTGTTTTTACTTAATAATTGGTATATGGATTCACAATGTTTGTGAGTATTTGTGGTGATTGTATACAAGTAATCATAGTCAAAATCGATTTTTTAGTTATCAAAATAATTATTGATTATCTTAACAAACAAAAAAATTTTGCRAAATTCGGTGATTTAAACTTAAATTAGGTTTTAATTTTATGGTTACCATGTTTAAAAATATATTTAAGCAATACACGCGTCTGTGTACAAACAATATTGTAAAACCCACTTGGATTTTAAAATTTTTCAATATTAATAGTTAATTCACTAAAATGTTTAGATAAGTTGACAATAATAGCATTACATAAATGCATTAATTATTTGAAATTGTATTAAATAATAATTGTTGAATGTTAACTAATGAATCTCCATGTCATTGAAGTAATAATTGCAGTGATGTAGATTATATACTGATTTTGTTGATATGCAAACTGGATTTGTACATATTTTACTATTTGTTGGCAATAGTAGAATAATAGTTTTTTCCCCAATTGAAAATTAAATTAAGTAAACTAGTGTAAAATAATAGTCGTTAAATTTTTTACCTGAGATACTCGTAATACATTTTTTTAACACATTATTTATTTCACCAAGTATTACCAAAATGTATTACAAGTAAATTTCAGTTGTATATTGTATAATTATTCATAATATTTTCTCTATGTTGTAATATTACYATTTAAGTTGCATTTATATATTATATGTTTTTGTATTCACAATTTTGATAGATGTGAAGTTTGCATATAATATATTAATTTGTTTTTCTTGCAAATCAACCGTATCTCATGAATTATAAATGTAAATAGCCATTAATAAAATGTGAGTTGCTTATGAGTTATTACACATTTTATTCATACTACCTACATTTCAAAAAATTCTATACGAACCATATTTTAAAAACAGGTTTCCATTTGAATTTTTAAAGTTACCCCTCGAAACTACCCATCCTAATTAATAAAAAAAATATTTATAAGCATAGATTATATGATTCAAAAAGGTTTTCACATAGGTAATTTTTCCCTAATTTAAATATATCATGCTGAAATCTGCTGTGACATGAAATTTAACACCC